ATGGATATTTGTGGTGAGTGCACATGAAATAAAGTTGTGTTAATTTCAGTAGCCCTTAGTGAGATCCCCGCGGCTACATAACACTTCTCAGTCTCTCTATGGCTGGTTTGCAGTGTCATGCCATCAAAAATAAATATCAGAACCATTCAATAAATTAAGTCAAGAAGCTGGGATATGAGAGATGATTGATATATAAACAACCTCGCCAAGATTTAGATCTGTGCAGTTTTTCATTGTCCCGCTATTTGGAGAAGTGCTTCACACAAATTTACAGAGCTTTGTATGGAGTCGCCATGTTTGTGCCCCTCGGGGGGACACAAACATGGCGGCTGTAAAGTAACAGAAACATCTGTCATTGAGTTTTGCCATTGAAACGAAAAGTTATTACCCTAGAGCTCCGACAAATTGAAATTAATACTTTTTCTATAGCAACAACTGTTTATTTAGCAAAAACTTGAGCAACAACTCATCTCTTTGACTATTTGAGAGCCTTATCGGGCCGTCATTTTAATGTCACACAACGCATAAACTTGGAAATTCAAACGTGCCTTATTTCAAAATGAGGAACCCTGTCGAGCTTAAACGCTGCAAAACAGCAAGTTATTAAAGGGTCTTACATTTGATGAAACGAAAACTTCAGAAGGATTGGTAATTTCTTATTTTGGAAAATGATGACGTCGCATGAAAAGCGGCAATTCTTTCTATTTTTAAATACACGCAAAAGAAAAGGGAAGGGAAACGAGCGCGAAGCACACAGGGGTTTCTGCTGGCTTTCATTATGTCATCAATATATTTTTGATATCATTGACCATTCTTGTTTCTATTATATTAAAGGAGGTGTTCTACATGTCGCCACAAATAATCATTGCATAGTGGAAGTTTTTTTCAGTGAGTTTCCAAGACTTCCTTTAGGAAAACTCGTTGTTTTGATGTATCTTTGGAGTGTGTGAATTGCGTACCACTGCTGCTGCAATGCTGAGTTTAACAAAGAACACAGTTGGCAACGTATTTGCAGTTTTGAGACATTATTGCGGTCGCGACTTGCAAGATTGATCGGTCGTTCCTTTTGGAGGTCGAGTTTATGTGGTAAAGTGCGATGAAAGCCAATTCAAGCACAAGTCCAAGGTAACCCATTTACAACCTCGTTCCCAGAGTCTTTTCCCTGGCTTGAGGGTGGGGCCCACCCCCAAGTCAGGGGACCCTGGGAACGAGGTTGACCCATTTTCAATTATATGTTGAAAAAGGCGGGGGCAAGGGATGACTCTGAGTGAAGGAGACATTCCATTTGCTACATGTTACATAAGCAGCTTATGTAGTTCTATTCATTCTGTCACCTTTCAGGTGTAGTCGTAATGCAGAGTGTTTGATAATTAGTATGCATTGTCCCGCAAGCCCAAATATATGCAGAGACGC